TAAACCAAATCGGGAAATCAAAACATTGAAAAATCGAAAAATTTAAAACGACAATTGAAAACAGAAAATCTAAAATCGGGAAGTCGAGAAATCGAAAGATTAGGCAATCGAAAAAGTAAAAAAATCGACACATCGAAAAATCCAGGAGTCAAAAATCGAAAAGTGAAAGAATCGAATTATTGAAAAATCCTAAAACTGAAATACCGAAAAACTGAAAAATGAAAGAAAAACTGAAAAATGGAAAACCAGAAAAATCCGAAAACTGAAATATCTAAAAACTGAGAACCTAAAAAGTCGAAAAATTGAGCAATTGAAAAATCTAAAAAGTGAAGTCGAAAAATCGAAACCCTCGAAGGTCAAGAAATGGGAAAATCAAAACATCGATTAATTGGAAAATCGTAAAATTGAGAGTTTGTAAAAGTCAAATTTGAAAAATTAAAAATGGAAAATTTGACAAAATGACAATTGAATAAATAATAGTTTAAAAAACTAAAAAAACACGCTTTTATTGCTAATCGAACTAAAAACTAGAAAATAATTTTTAATGACAGAGTTTAATATTACAGTAGTAGAAGATCAAACAATCAATCATAATAAATCACCTCAAATTAAAATTATAATAAAATTTAAGTTATTAACAGAATAATTCAATTCAGAGTAAAAAGCGTGGGGTGCTTGATATTTTAAATATTACAATCATTCTATTGGCAACTATCTATGAGAGGATAGTTATGAACCGCAGTAAAATGCACCCCACGCTTTTTACTCTGAATTGAATTATTCTGTTAATAACTTAAATTTTATTATAATTTTAATTTGAGGTGATTTATTATGATTGATTGTTTGATCTTCTACTACTGTAATATTAAACTCTGTCATTAAAAATTATTTTCTAGTTTTTAGTTCGATTAGCAATAAAAGCGTGTTTTTTTAGTTTTTTAAACTATTATTTATTTTTCATTTTTTAGTCTGCGACAAATTCATAAATTGGGGAATTAATTAGCATGCGCAGATCGCGCGCTAGCTTTATCTCTTTTACTCCACTACACAGGATCCATAAAAGAATTTATAAATCCTGGCGGTCCTAATAAGGATAATGGGAAACTGTTATCAAATTATTGCATTGTCATCGATCCTTGAGACGTGTGCAAAGTTTCAAGATGATCAGACTTTTAGAAACCGATGAAAATTAAGCTCAAAGATTCCGTTACATACATACATACAACCCAAGCTAATAAAAGCGTGATAAAAACAGAAAATCTAAAACCGGGAAGTTGAAAAATCAAAAGATTAAGAAATCGAAACATTTGAAAAATTGAAATATGGAAAAGCTGAAATGAAAAATCGAGAAATCGAAAAATCTAAAATTTTAAATATTGAAAAATTAAAACACCAAAAAATTGAGAAATCTAAAATTTAAAAATCGAAAAAGTAAAAGTCGACACATCGAAAAATTCAAATATTGAAAAATCTCAAAACAGAAATATCGAAAAGCAGAAAAATGAAAGAAAAACTGAAATATCCAAAAACTGAGAACCTAAAAAGTCGAAAAATTGAGCAATCGAAAAATCCAAAAAGTGACTTCGAAAAATCGAAACCTTAAAAAAACTAAAAAATTAAAAATCAAAAATCTGAAAAATTGAAAAATTAAAGAATTGAAGAATAGGAACATCGAAACCCTCGAAAGTCAAGAAATGGGAAAATCAAAAGATCGATTAATTGAAAAATCGAAAAATTGACAGTTTATAAATATCAAATTTGAAAAATTGAAAAATCGAAAAATTGAAAAAACGATAATTGAAAAACAGAAAATCTAAAACCGGGATGTCGAAAAATCGAAAGATTAAGAAATCGAAACATTTGAAAAATTGAAATCGAAAAATCTAAAATTTTAAATATTAAAAAATTAAAATATCAAAAAATTGAGAAATCTAAAATTGAAAAATCGAAAAAGAAAGAGCCGACAGATCGAAAAATCCAGAAGTCAAAAATGGAAAAGTCGAAGAACAGAAATATTGAAAAATCCCAAAACTGTAATATCGAAAAACTAAAAAATGAAAAAAAACTGACGAATCGAAAAAATGAAAAATCCCAAAACTGAAATATCCAAAAACTGAGAATCTAAAGAATCGAAAAATCAAAAAAGTAAAGTCGAAATATCGAAACCTTAAAAAAATCGAAAAATTGAAAAATCAAAAACCTGCAAAATCGTAAGATCGAAAAATTGAATAATAAGTAAACTGAAAAATCCCAAAAGTGAAATGTCCAAAAACTGAGAAATTAAAAAATTGAAAAATTGAGAAATCGAAAAATCAAAAGAGTGAAGTTGAAAAACCAAAACACCTGAAAAATCAATTGATTGAAAAATCGACAAATAAAGAGTTTATAAAAGTTAAAAATTGAAAAATCGAAACATTTAAAAATCGTAAAATTGAAGAGAAAAACTGAAAACCGAAAAACTGAAAAATTGTAAAATCCAAAATTTGAATAATAAATAGCAGTAAACTGAAAAGTCCCCAAACTAAAATTTCGAAAAACTGAGAATTCGAAATTTGAAACAGCAAGAAATTATGGTCGAAACCGGTTAGGATGTGTATCAGATCACGGATCATGGCTTATAGGGGAAAAGTGCCTAAAATGATCCCCTCAGGTCAAATGATCTCCATCAATTGTAAGAAAATTTGTGGCTCCATCTACCAAACATAACTGTCATTTGATTAAGCGCTCTGTAATTAGTACCTTCTGAAAGTTTGATGGCGTTCTGTGTATTCTGCACAGTTTTGTGCCAAAATACGTAAAATAAGCACCTCTGATCTAAGGTAAGATATATTTTAAAAGTCCATTACTTCCATTTGAAAGGTCTTATAGCGGTGGTAGTTGTTTTGACAGAATTAGATACATTTCAGTGTTAGGTTAGTTATGATCTTTTTACCGCATGTAGAAATTGAAGGTTAGTTTACAATTTTTGAATGCGGATATGCTACCTAAGGCGAAATGATCACTTTTTCTTGAGGCAAAATGATCCCGGATCATTGGGCGGAGCTAGTACCTGCTAAGATAAGACTGATTTTTGCAAATCATATACCCTCTAAGAAAAGAGAGGGTGGGTGGGCGGGGCTAGTACCTGCTAAGATAAGACTGATTTTTGCAGATAACATATCCTCTAACCCCGCCCACCTACTCTTTATTTTCTTTGAGGGAATACCATTTGCCAATATCAGTTTTATCTTAGCAAGTACTAACCCCACCCACCCGCCCGTTATTTTCTTAGAATGTATGTTATTTGCCAATATCACCCTTATCTTGCCAAGCACTAGCTCGGCCCATCCGCCCTTTATCTTGTTAGAGGGCTAGTACCTAATAAGATAAGACTGATTTTCGCAAATGATATATCCTCCAAGAAAAGAGAGGGTGGGTGGGCGGGGCTACTGCCTGCTAAGATAAGACTGATTTTTGCAGATGACATATCCTCTAACCCCGCCCACCCACCCTTTAGTTTCTTCGAGGTAATACCATTTGCCAATACCAGTTTTATCTTAGCAGTTACTAGCCCCACCCACCTACTACCTGCTAAAATAAAACTGATTTTCGCAAATGAAATACCCTCTAAGAGAGGAGAGGGAGGGTGGGTGGAGCTAGTACCTCTTAAGACGGGAAAATTTAAATAATTTAAAAGAATTTTAGGGATTTTCGTGTTCTATTTTTGGGAAATTCTCAGTATTAAGAGGTACTAATCCCAGTCACCCGCCGTCACTTTTCTTAAAGGGTATCTCATTTGCCAAAATCAGTTTTATGTTAGCAAGTATTAGCCCCACCCACCCACCCTCTCTTTTCTTAGAGGGTATATCATTTGCCAAATTCAGTTTTATCTTAGCAGTTAGTAGACCCGCCCACCCGCCCTCTCTTTTCTTAAAGGCTATATCATTTGCCAAATTCAGTCTTATCTTAGCACTTACTAACCCCACCCACCCACCCTCTTTTTTTCTTAGAGTGTATGTCATTTGCCAAATTCAGTTTTATCTTAGCAGTTACTAGTCCCACCCACCCACCCTCTCTTTGCTTAGAGGGTATATCATTTGTCAAATTCAGTCTTATCCTAGCAGTTACTAGCCCCACCCACCCACCCTCCCTCTCTTTTCTTAGAGGGTATATCATTTGCCAAATTCAGTTTTATCTTATCAGGTAGTAGGCCCGCCCACCCGCCCTCTCTTTTCTTGGAGGGTATCCCATTTGGCAAAATTAGTCTTATCTTAGCACGTACTGATGACTAAAGTATTGTCTCAAACTCTTCCAGAAATTATACACCCCGTATTTTCGGTGCTTTTCAAACTTTTTTTGTTTATTTTTTTTTAAGAATTTATTTTTTTGTTAATTTTTGAAATAAAATATTTATCAGTTATGTCATGATTTGATTTTTCTTGTTGGTGCTGTCCCCTTATGGTCAAAATTCAAAGGGATCATTATGCCCATGCCGAGGAATCATTTTACCTATGGGGATGCCTAAAATGATCCTTTTGTAAGGTCCTGGAAAAACGTTAATAACTTTTTTTATAATTATCGAATCACCAATTGGCTTATACTGTTACCTAGATAAATCAATGTTCTTACAAATAATGCTACAGTTTTACATGAATAATAATAATTTGTATTTTTTAAAGAATTTCTCCCTTAGGGGGATCATTTTAGGCACCTTTCCCCTAAATCAAATCGTTTCCGAACGCTTAGAGTCGACATTGGCCTGAGTGCGTTCGGGTCTGTAAATCAAACAAGTTCTCAGACGACGAATTGTAATTCCTGTGACCTGAATTCAAATGAAGGAAACAGTAAACAGCTTGTAATATTCTGGTAAAACTAGTGTCAATTTGTCGAAAGTAAAACGCGTGTGTCACTAATATGTGTCATACAAAACAATGAGCGCTGTACTCCCTCTATAAATAAAACATCTTTGGGTTTAGGGGTTTAGTGCACAAATCTAGTGGATTTAGTGTTTTATGTTTTTAGAGGTTATGTTTATAGGTTATGTGGTTGTATTTTTTGGCGACGTAAATTTTCTTTATGGTTAACACGTGGATTATTTCACGTGTTTCGCAGTAAAAAATTAGTTTTATATTTTAACAAATATCAGCATCAAAATCGTGATGTCATGAAGCCCCCAAAAATTAAGCAAAAAAATAGTGAAACAAGTAATGGTGTTTCAGATATGAAATTTAGTGCTATGGAGAACAGCAATGTTAATGATTACAATTCTAATGCAAGAAACGATGGAAACAACAGGGCTGCAGAAGATGAGCTGAAGCGGTCAAAGTCTGTAAAGCAAATGATAACATCGTACCAACAACAGCGACTTACCATTAAAGAGGCCCTGTGTAATCTTGTAAGCTAAGAAACGTTTTAATAAATAAGTCTGACTAAATAAAATTGCAGGATAGAACACCGAGTAATAAAATTGTCTTTGATGAAGATAGCAACATAGAAAATAATGAATTAGAATATAATGTTACAGAAGTAGGGAATAAAAAGTCACTTTTCCAAGATGATGACAGTGAAGAAGACAATTTCAACTTTGAACCTAATAAATATCACTTTACTAATGAAGGACAAAAGGTTTAATAAAAACACACCTATTCTCGAGTAATTAATAAAGTATAAGTTATTTTTTTCAGCTCTATGAATTACAGTCAAAGTTTAAAGGTGACCGCAGATTTCAACTTAATGAACGTTTTCTACCAGATAACAAAGATTCAGAGCCGTGTAGTGTAAATGAAGCATGTTCACTAGAAGAAGAAAAGAAAAGTGAAATTAACATTTTAGAGCAAGTACTTGGAACAAAATTACGTCCAAAGAAGCAAAATTTGGTACCAAAAAGGTATAAATATATTTTTTTTCTTTTGGTCATTGCAAAGTAATAATCTACAGAAAGGAGCAAATTTTTTTAAACATGGCTTTAATGTTGTTAAAACTTGTAGTTCACTTGAAAAGAAAATGTTGAGGTTTGATCCAACTCAGTCAAACCACGTCCAATATCAAATTACGGCCCCAAACAAACCCAATGAAGTGAAAATTAAACAAACTCATCAAAATGAAGAAGAAGAAGAGGAAGTTCAACAGCCACTTGTTTCTAAAGATGTTTTTTACCAAGTCGACAATGATTTGAAGATCAGTCTTCAGTCTCAGCAGGAATTTAGTCTGCTTAAACAGTTTGGTAAAGATGAGGACATGAAATCCGTTGCTGACGTGGAATATGAACAGAGTGAAGAAATCATTGAAAATCAACACAAGTTTGATTTAAACAGCACTAACCCGTTTCGTTATGATTCATCTGATGAGGAACCAGACAGTTCGCAACACGTCGAGCCAGTAAATGCGCAAGAATCTGACAAAGATAATTTGTCATTTCACTCTGAACCGTTCTTTTTTAAAGAAGACGATTTTCGATTCCAAGGCAAGTATTGCAGAGATAATTATTTGCAGGAAAAAATGCGGTTGTTGGGAATAAGTTACAATGTTACAAATGTGATAAGCTTTCAAAATTTTGCATGGTAAATACTATTCAAATTTTATAAAATAACACACTCCTGTATATATTGTTTATGAATCCGGCTTGATTGTTTACGTTGGGCGTCCAAAATTTGTCACCAACAATGAAATGACGCAATCTCCAAATTTTACAATAGTAGATGTAATTTAAATTCTATATCGTCCGTTTACGGTTTATGCATCGTGTTGAGTTTTCACTTAGACGTCGAGATTTTTGGAACAAAATCAACATTTTCCAATTTATAATGTTATTTAAATGTTAAAAAGTAGCATAGTGCTGAACTTGTGATTTATAAATACGCTATTGAGATTTTTCGGCTTTTCGTTTGCTCGATTTTTCAAGTTTAGATATCTCAATTTTTCAATATTTCAATTTTGGGCTTTTTCAACTTTTCCATTGTTCAAATTTTCGATTTCTCGATTTTTTTAATTTTTCGATTTCTCAATTTTCCGATGTTTCAATGATACGATTTCTTAATTTTTGTCCTCTTCAATTTTGCGATTTTTAAATATTTCGATTTTACAATTTTCCAGATTTTCACGTTTCTAAATTTTCAGTTTTCCGATTTCTGAAGTAACTTTATTTTTTATTTTTCCATTTCTCGACTTTCTAAAGTTTCAATTTTTCACTTCTTCGATTCTTCACTTTTTCGATTTTTTAAGCTTACGATTTTTCGACTTTGCTTCTTTAGTTTTCCGATTTCTCGATTTTCCAATTTTTCAATGTTCCGATTTTTTAGTTGCCGGATTTTTCAATTTTTGGATTTTTTAAATTTTGGAGTTTCGAATTTTCGATTTGTCGATTTTTTAGTTTTTCGATTTTTGAATTTTAAATGTTCGAATTTTTTTTGCTTTTTTGTTTAGATTTCTAGATTCTTCAATTTTGAAATATTTTAATTGTTCAATGTTTTAAATTTTTCAAATTTTGACGTTGCTACATTTTCAGTTTTCCGATTTCTCAATCGATCTATTTTTGATTTTCCCACTTCTCAAAGTTTCGATTTTTCAGTTCTCCAATTCTTCGATTTTTCGACTTCGCTTTATTGGTTTTTCGATTTCTCAATTTTTTAATTCCTCAGTTTTTGGATGTTTCTTTCAGTTTTTGAGATTTTTTCAATATTTCAATTCTTCGACGTTTCGATTTTTCGATTTTTTATTTTTGGATTTTCAGTTTTTTGATTGTTTTATATTTCAATTTCTCAATTTTTCTACTTTTCCATATTTTGACTTTTCAGTTTTTAAATTTCTAGATTTTTCGATTTCTCGAGTTTCCGGTTCTATTTCAATTTTCTGAACTTTTAAATTTTCGATTTTTCAATTTTTTGCGATCTCGATTTATCGAGATTTGGATGTTTCGATGTTTTGATTGTTCAATCTCTCGATTTATCAATTTTTCCATTTTGGCCTATTTCGGCTTTTCAATTTTTCGACTTCTCGATGTCTCAGTTTTTGAATTTTACGATGTATCGATTTTTCGATTTTTTACTTTTCGGTTTCTCGACTTTTCGATGTTTTTGAATTATCCGATTTTTGAATTTTCCAATTTTTGAGTTTCGATTTCTCGATTCGTTGATTTTTTAGTTTTTCGATTTTTAAATTTTAGATTTTCGAATTTTTATTTTTTGATTTTTTGATTGGATTTCTCCATTTTTCAATTTTACGATATTTTCATTTTTCAGTGTTTTAAATTTTAGATTTTTCAATTTTTCAATTCTTCAATATTTTTTAGTTTTTCAAATTTTGACATTTCTGAATTTTCAGTTTTCGGATTTCTCAATGAATCTATTTTTTATTTTCCCATTTCTCCACTTCCCAAAGTTTCCATCTTTCAGTTCTTCGGTTCTTCAATTCTTCGATTTTTCAGGTTTTTTATTTTTCAACTTTTCGACTTTGCTTTTTTGACTTTTCAGTTTCACAATTTTTTAATTCCCCAATTTTTTTATATTTCGTTCAATTTTGTGATTTTTTTAGTTTTTCGCGTCTTCGATTGTTTTTTCAATTTTTCGATATTTGAGTTCTGGGATTTTTTTGTATTTCGACTTTTCGAGTTCTCTATTTTTCGATTTCTCGACTTTTTACTTTATGAATTTTCAATTTTCCGTTTTTTAAACTTTAGATTTTTCATTTTTTTAACTGTTTTATGCTTCGATTTCTCGACTATTCAGTTCTTCTATATTCCAATTTTTTAATTTTTGGATATTTTAAATTTTCGATTTTCTAATTGTTTCAATTTTTCAATTAACCCGTCGTTCAATTTCTCGATTTTTGAATTTTAGATTTTTTTGTTTTTTTTCATGTTTGGATTTCTCGATTTTACAATTTTCTCATATTTAAATTTTTCAATGTTTTAAATTTTTGATTTTTCGATGTCTCGATTTTTTATTTCTTCAATAATTCTATTTTTCAATTTTTCGATTTTTTAACTTTGCCATCTTGGTTTTTCGGTTTTTAAAATTTTTCGATTTTTGGATTTCCCGATTTTTTAGTTTCCGGTTTCGTAGTTTCTGCAACATTATTAGTTCTGGGAACTTTTTAATTTCTAGTTTTTTAATTTTTCGATTTTGAAAACTTGATTTCTCGATTTATCGAATTCAGATGTTTCGTAGTTTTGATTGTTCAATTTCTCGATTTAGCAGTTTTTCAATTTTTAACTTTTCTTTTCGGCTTCCGACTCCTCGATTTTTCGATTTCTCGATGGGTCAGTTTTTGAATTTTTCAATGTTTCGGTTTTTTAGTTATACGATTTTTCAATTTTTCGATTTTTAAATTTTAAATTTTTAGAATTTTTATTTTTTGCTTTTTTTATGTTTGGATTTCTAGATTCTTCAATTTTGCGATATTTTAATGGTTCAATGTTTTAAATTTTTTCAATTTTACACATTTTAACGTTGCTAAATTTTCAGTTTTCCGATTTCGCAATCAATATATGTATTTTTGATTTTCCCATTTCTAGACTGCTCAAAGTTTCGATTTTTCAGTTCTCCAATTCTTCGATTTCTCGACTTCGCTTTATTGGTTTTTCGATTTTTTATTTTTGGATCTTCAGTTTTTCGTTTTTTTAACTTTAGATTTTTCAATTTTTCCATTGTTTTATATTTCAAATATTTTAAGTTTTCAGTTTTTAAATTTCTAGATTTTTCGATTTCTCGAGTTTCCGGTTCTATTTTTCAATTTTCCGAATTTCTAACTTTTCGATTTTGACCAATGTATTTCGGTTTATCAATTTTTCGCCTTTTCGACTCCTCGATATCTCGATTTTTTGATTTTTCGATTTCTCGATGTCTCAGTTTTTGAATTTTACGAATGAATCGATTTTTCGATTTTTTATTTTTCAATTTTCCAATTTTTTAAATTTTCGAGTTTCGATTCCTCGATTTGTTGATTTTTCAGTTTTTCGATTTTTAAATGTTAACTTTTCGAATTTTTATTTCTTTGATTTTTTGATGTTTGGATTTCTCCATTTTTCAATTTTACGATATTTTAATTTTTCAATTTTTTAAATTTTAGATTTTTCAATTTTTCAGTTCTTCAAAAATTTTTACTTTTTCAAATTTTGACATTTCTAAATTTTCAATTTTCGGATTTCTCAATTAATCTACTTTTTTATTTTCCCATTTCTCCACTTCCCAAAGTTTCCATCTTTCAGTTCTTCGGTTTCTCAATTTTTTAATCTCCTAATTTTTGGGTATTTCGTTCAATTTTGTGATTTTTTAGTTTTTCGAGTTATGGATTTTTCGATTTCTCGACATTTTGGATTTTCAATTTTCCGTTTTTTAAACTTTGGCTTTTTCAATTTTTTAACTGTTTTATCCTTCGATTTGTCAATTTTTCAACTTTTCAATGTTTTAATTGTTCCATATTTTAGCTTTTTAAATTTTTAAAATTTTCGGAATTTTTAAATTTTCGATTTTCCAATTTTTTAATTTTTCGATGTTTGGATTTTTGAATTTCTCGATGTTTGGATTTTTGAATTTCTCGGTTTTTCGATTTTTTAGTTATCCGATTTTTCAATTTTTCAGTTTTTCGATTTTTGAATTTTAAATTTTCGAATTTTTATATTTTGCTTTTTTTATGTTTGGATTTCTAGATTCTTCAATTTTGCGATATTTTAATTGTTCAATGTTTTAAATTTTTCAATTTTTCAAATTTTGACGTTGCTAAATTTTTAGTTTTCCGATTTCTCAATCAATCTATTTTTGATTTTCCCACTTCTCAACGTTTCGATTTTTCAGTTCTTCCATTCTTCGATTTTTCGACTTCGCTTTTTTGGTTTTTCCATTTCTCAATTTTCTAATTTTTTAATTACTCAATTTTTGGATATTTCTTTCAGTTTTGAGATTTTTCAATATTTCGATTCTTCGACTTCTGTATTTTTCGATTTTTTGTTTTTGGATTTTCAGTTTTTCGTTTTTTCAACTTTATATTTTTCAATTTTTTGATTGTTTTGTATTTCAATTTCTCAATTTTTCAATTTTTTGAGATCTCGATTTATCAATTTTTCCATTCCATTTTCCATTTTCGGTTTCTCAATTGTTCCACACACGACTCCTCGGTATTTTGATTTTTCGATTTCTCGATGTCTCAGTTTTTGAATTTTACGATGTTTCGATTTTTCGCTTTTTGGTTTTTTCCAATTTTTCGATGTTAGATTTTTGAGTTATCCGATTTTTCCATTTTTTAAATTTTTGAGTTTCGATTTCTCGATTCGTTGATTTTTCAGTTTTTCGATTTCTAAATTTTAGCTTTTCGAATTTTATTTTTTTTTATGTTTGGATTTCTCCATTTTTCAATTTTACAATATTTTAATTTTTCAAATTTTGACGTTTCTGAATTTTCAATTTTCGTAATTTTTTATTTTCCCATTTCTCCACTTCCCAAAGTTTAGATTTTTCAGTTTTTCAATGTTTTTTATTTTTTCAAATTTTGACATTTCTGAATTTTCAATTTTCGGATTTCTCGGTTAATCTATTTTTTTATATTCCCATTTCTTCATTTCCCAAAATTCTTTCAGTTCTTCGGTTCTTCAATTTTTTGATTTTTCAATTTTTCGATTTTTTAAGTTTGCAATTTTTCGACTTTGCTTTTTTGACTTTTCGGTTTCTCAATGTTTTAATTCTCTAATTTTTGGATATTTCGTTCAATTTTGTGATTTTTTAGTTTTGGGATCTTTTTGTATTTCGACTTTTCGAGTTCTGGATTTTTCGATTTCTCGACTTTTTGCTTTTTGGATTTTCAATTTTCCGTTTTTTAAACTTTTGGTTTTTCAATTTTTTAACTGTTTTATGCTTCGATTTCTCGAGTTTTCAGTTCTTCTATATTTCAATTTTTCAATTTGCGATTTTCCAATTTTTTTTTAATTTTTCGAGGTTTAGAATTTTGGATTTCTCTGTTTTTCGATTTTTTACTCTTGGATTTTTCAATTTCTCGATTTTCCAGTTTTTCAATTTCTCGATTTATCAATTTTTCAAGTTTTAATTTTCCTTTTCGGCTTCTGACTTCTCGATTTTTCGATTTCTCGATGTCTCAGTTTTTGAATTTTTCGATCTTTCGATTTTTGGATTTCTCGGTTTTTCGATTGTTTACTTTTGGGTTTTTCAATTTTTCAATGTTTCGATTTTTAGTTACCCGACTTTTCAATTTTTCGGTTTTTTAAATTTTGGAGTTTCGAATTCCCGATTTGTCGACTTTTCAATTTTTAACGAGTTTTAAAGTTTAAATCTTCGAATTTTTATTTTTTGCTTTTTTATGTTTGGATTTCTAGATTTTTCAATTTTGCGATATTTTAATTGTTCAATGTTTTCAGTTTTTCAAATCTTGACGTTACTAAATTTTCAGGTTTCCGATTTCTCAATCAATCTATTTTTTTAATTGCTCAATTTTTGGATATTTCTTTCAGTTTTGAGATTTTTCAATATTTCGACTCTTGGACTTTTCGACTTCTGGATATATCGATTTTTTATTTTTGGATTTTCATTTTTCGTTTTTTAAACTTTAGATTTTTTAATTTTTCGATTGTTTTCTATTTCAATTTCTCAGTTTTTCCATATTTTAATTTTTCAGTTTTTAAATTTCTAGATTTTTCGATTTCTCGAGTTTCCAGTTCCATTTATCAATTTTTCCATTTTTTTCTTTTCGATTTTGGCCTATTTCGGTTTCTCAATTTTTCGACTTCTCGACTCCTTGATCTTTTGATTTTTCGATTTCTCGATGTCTCCGTTTTTGAATTTTACGATATTTCGATTTTTCGCTTTTTGGTTTCTCGATTTTTCGATGTTCGATTTTTGAATTATCCGATTTGTCAATTTTTTAAATTTTCGAGTTTCGATTTCTCGATTCGTTGATTTTTCAGTTTTTCGATTTTTAAATTTTAGATTTTAATTTTTTTTATTTTTTGATGTTTGGATTTCTCCATTTTTCAATTTTACGATATTTTAATTTTTCAAATTTTGACGTTTCTGAATTTTCAGTTTTCGTAATTTTTTGTCTTCCCATTTCTCCACTTCCCAAAGAGTCAATCCTTCAGTTCTTCAGGTGTTTGATTTTTCAATTTTTCCACTTTGCTTTTTTGACTTTTCGGTTTCTCAATTTTTTAATTGCCTAATTTTTGGGTATTTCGTTCAATTTTGTGATTTTTCAGTTTTTCGATTCTTCAATTTTTCTTCTCTTTATCAATTTTTCGATATTTGAGTTTTGGGATTTTTTAGTATTTCGATTTTTCGAGTTCTGGATTTTTCGATTTCTCGACTTTTTACTTTTTGGATTTTCAATTTTCCGTTTTTTAAACTTTAGATTTTTCATTTTTTTTACTGTTTTATGCTTCGATTTCACAATTTTTCAACTTTTCGATATTTCAACTTTTCAATTTTAAAAATTTTTGGTTTTTCGATTTCTCGAGTTTTCAGTTCTTCTATATTTCAATTTTTCGATTTTCCAATTTTTTTTTTTGATTCTTCGATTTCTCAATTTTCTCAACTTTTCGATGTTTTAATATTTCAATTTTAAAAATTCTAGGTTTTTCAATATCTTGAGTTTTCAGTTCTGTAGATATTTCAATTTTTCGAATTTTTAAATTTTCGATTTTCCAGTTTTTCTTTTTTAAAATGTTTCAATTTTTCAATTTTTTGATTTCTCGATTTATCGAATTCAGATGTTTCGTAGTTTTGATTGTTCATTTTCTCGATTTATCAATTTTTTTAATTTTTAACTTTTCTTTTTGGCTTCCGAGTCCTCAATATCTCGATCTTTTGATTTTTTGATTTCTCGATATCTGTTTTTGAATTTTACGATGTATCGATTTTTCGATTTTTTATTTTTCGGTTTCTCGACTTTTCCATGTTCCGATTTTTCAATTTTCCAATTTTTTTAATTTTCCAGTTTCGATTCCTCGATTCGTTGATTTTTCAGTTTTTCGATTTTTAAATTTTAGATTTTTGTATTTTTATTTCTTTGATTTTTTGATGTTTGGATTTCTCCATTTTTCAATTTTATGATATTTTCATTTTTCAATGTTTTAAATTTTAGATTTTTCAATTTTTCAGTTCTTCAATATTTTTTAATTTTTCAAATTTTGACATTTCTGAATTTTCAGTTTTCGGATTTCTCAATTAATCTATTTTTTTATTTTCCCATTTCTCCACTTCCCAAAGTTTCCATCTTTCAGTTCTTCGGTTCAATTTTTTGATTTTTCAGTTTTTTGATTTTTTAAGTTTGCGATTTTTCGACTTTTCGGTTTCTCAATTTTTTAATTTCCAAATTTTTGGATATTTCGTTCAATTTTGTGATTTTTTAGTTTTTCGATTCTTCAATTTTTCGATATTTGAGTTTTGGGATTTTTTTGTATTTCTACTTTTCGAGTTCTGAATTTTTAGATTTCTCGACTTTTTGCTTTTCAATTTTCCGTTTTAAACTTTGGGTTTTACAATTTTTTAACTGTTTTATGCTTCGATTTCTTAATTTTTCAACTTTTGCATATTTTAGCTTTTCAGTTTTTAATTTCGATTTCTCGAGTTTTCAGTTCTTGTATATTTCAATTTTCGGAATTTTTAAATTTTCGATTTTCCAATTTTTTTTTTTTAATTTTTCGATGTGTCGATTTTTGGATTTCTCGGTTTTTCGATTTTTTTTACTTTTGGATTTTTTTAAATGTTTCGATTTTTTAGTTATCCGATTTTTCATTTTTTCGATTTTTATATTTTGCTTTTTTTATGTTTGGATTTCTAGATTCTTCAATTATGCGATATTTTAATTGTTCAATGTTTTAAATTTTGACGTTGCTAAATTTTCAGTTTTCCGATTTCTCAATCAATTTTTGATTTTCAAAGTTTCAATTTTTCAGTTCTCCAATTCTTCGATTTTTCGACTTCCCTTTATTGGTTTTTCGATTTCTCAATTTTCCAATTTTTTAATTTCTCAATTTTTGGAAATTTCTTTCAGTATTGGGATTTTTTAATATTTCGATTCATCGACTTTTAAGACTTCTGGATTTTTCGATTTTTTATTTTTGGATTTTCAGTTTTTCGTTTTTTAAACTTTTGATTTTTCGATTGGTTTATATTTCAATTTCTCAATGTTTCCATATTTTAATTTTTCAGTTTTTAATTTTTAGATTTCTCGAGTTTCCAGTTCTATTTTTCAATTTTCCGAACTTTTAAATTTTCGATTTGTCAACTTTTTGAGATCTCGATTTATGAATTTTTCGATTTCTCGATGTCTCAGTTTTTGAATTTTACGATGTTTGGATTTTTCGCTTTTTGGTTTCTATTTTTCGATGTTCGATTTTTGAATTATCCGATTTTTAAATTTTCGAGTTTCGTTTTCTCGATTCATTGATTTTTCAGTTTTTCGATTTTTAAATTTTCGAATTTTTATTTTTTTGATATTTTGATGTTTGGTTTTCTCCATTTTTCAATTTTACGATATTTTAATTTTTCAAATTTTGACGTTAATGAATTTTCAGTTTTCGTAATTCTCAATTAATCTTTTTTTTTTATTTTTCCATTTCTCCACTTCCCAAAGTTTCGATCTTTCAGTTCTTCAATTTTTCGGGTATTTGATTTTTCAATTTTTTAATTTCCTAATTTTTGGATGTTTCGTTCAATTTTGTGATTTTTCAGTTTTTCGATTCAATTTTTCGAATTTTTTAGTATTTCGACTTTTCGAGTTCTGGATTTTTAGATTTCTCGACTATTTACTTTTTGGATTTTCAATTTTCCGTTTTTTAAACTTTAGATTTTCCATTTTTTTAACTGTTTTATGCTTCGATTTCTCAATTTTTCAACTTTTCCATATTTTAACTTTTCAATTTTTAAAATTTTAGGTTTTTCGATTTTCCATTTTTTTTTTAATTTTTCGATGTTTCGATTTTTCAATTAACCGATTATTCAATTTGTCGATTTTTAAATTTTAGATTTTTCAGTTCTTCAATATTTTTGTTTTTCGATTTCTTAATTTTGCCATCTTGGTTTTTCGGTTTTTAAATTTTTTTGACTTTTTGATTTTTAGATTATTACACGATATTCCCAAAATACATATAAAATTTAACAATATTTTCCATACTCTCAAAGTCGTAAAACGTTGAAAAAAGCATGCAATAAGCCATTCGCTGAATGGATAATTACGTATGAGGTTATATATACCACAAACAAAAAAGGGAATAAAGAAAGCTATTTCACATATTGTAAAATTTTTGTAAATATTAATTTTTAAATATTAAATTTATTCTGTCAACAGATTTCAGCCATCTATTAGTTACATAATTATAAGTATCTTTTTTTTTGCAGATGGATCCGACTTTATCAAACGTGTTGGTTCTGAAAGAAATGCGGCATTTGTAGAACAAAGAAGAAACTTGAAACACATTATTAAATCAAAAATTAGAAATAACAATAGAAAAAGCAATCCGTTTAGAAAGAAGTTAGGTGGAAATAAAAAGAAAAAAAATGTTAGGATCAAAAAGGCGTTGAAAAGACATTAAAATCAATGTAGAAATCGAATCTCGAATTATTGCTATTTTATTATATAAACCCATATTCTTCTAACTGCTCACCATATATGTTGTTACTGAAATAAGGCAGGGTTACGTCAGATCAAGTGAAAACACATTTCTCAGCAGAATTCTTAATTATCTGAAAAATTATTATACAAAATACCAATATGACTTTACCTAATTCTAAAATTTGACAGAAACATAAATACGAAATGAAATATTATACAGATAAGATATAATCTAAGACTATTAACGAGAATATGAGATTATTTCTAGTGGAAAATGCATCACTAAACATTTTAAATCTGTAACAAAAGCTGAAATCAATTAAACTGCTTAAACATATTTTAACTACAAGCTATAAGGTAGCAGTAATCAACAAAATTTCAGAGTTAAAAACCACGCAAATTTCGACCAATTTCTTTAAAAACTCAAAACTTATAATTATAAAAAGCTGAAACTGTTACTGTAAAGGGTTATGACTAAAGCAGTTATAAAATTAACAGCTAGTCATAAACAGCAAATACTTGGAATATTGAAATGTATTTATTCTTTAGCTGGTACTTCAATAACCCGAGGTTTATCAATAATTCTCGCAGTTCGGTTGCCTTTTTCCACAATACCGATAATCCAAGCTTGGTAACCTTCTTGCTTTTCTATGTCTTTACAGTAGGCAGCTGCCTGTTCGCGAGGTAAACAAATTAAAAGCCCTCCAGAAGTTTCCGCGGAGTGGCCTTGCAACAATTGGAACATATTGCCACAAGCTTTAGCGACAGCGGCCATTTTAGCAATTACCGGCAAGTTATGTATAACGAACGAAACTTCATTCTTTTGGTGAGACGCTAAAGTTTGTGCGTGTCCTAAGAGACCAAATCCTGTGACATCTGTAGCACCGTGAGCATTATATTTATGCATCAGGCGGCTCGCGATGCGATTTAAACGAGCCATAGAGTCCATTGCACGATGATACGCTTTGCGAACATCTTCTTCACTTACAACTAATTTAATACGATTCCAGCGCTCCGGCTGATCTAACCACTGATGTGCATTTACAGCAACCTGCAAAAATATCAATTTTTTTCGTGACTAAAATTATAAGATAATGTACCTGTGTGCCTAGTGGTTTTGTTAGAACGAGTACGTCTCCAACGACGGCGTTATCGGGTACGATATATTCGTTCGGTTGACAGACGGTCGTTGCAACACCACCTATTGTACACCACGGATTTACCACAGTCTGTCCGCCTGTGACAGTTGTGCCTGCTTCAAGCGCTGAGTCTTTGAATCCTCGCATTATTAATGGAATAACTACATCACGTTCTTTTTCTGTCATCTTGGTACTGACTCCTAGTAGCATAAGCATATTGTCGCATTCAGTCACTCCCATCGCGTATAAGTCGCTCAAAACATTGGCACAAGCTATTTTTCCCATCATGTAAGGATCATCTACTAAGGGATAAAAGAAGTCAGTTGTCTGAACCAAACATAAACCTCCATGACGAACGGGTGTCACCTAAAACAGTAAGTAGACAATCGGAATGTGCCAGAAACAAGTAAAAATAATTTGCTCTTATACACCAACCTAGGTATTACATTTACTACTTGTAAATAATAGTTTTTTTTTCAATGAATCTAATTTATAATTTTGAAAAATAACTACAATATTCTACACAAAAAAAAAATAAATGTAATCCTAGAAAACGTTCCCCAAGGTTCTTTTAAAAACCCCACGCTAAAATTACTAATGTGCATGACAACACGCTCTTGATGTAGCCCGCAGTTGTATACAGAGTGATGGCAAATTTAATATTTTGGACTGAAAACAATTTTTTTGACATTTTACGTTGACAGTTGCCCTTTTTTCTTACCATACTAGTCTTCTTTTCACAATAAGAATCTTAAAACATTGAAAATGGTAAATTTTTGTAGGGAAATATGGATTTTGCAATTACGCTCCGCCCCTTGGTCTAACAACGAATGAAAAATGAGTGGATCGTGCTTCATTTTTACTTGTTTTTGTTTCGTAACACATACTTTTCTTTGAACAAGATACTTGAATCATATTTTATATGGCAATTTTTTATAGAAAAATGAGGATTTTGAAATTAAACTCCGCCCCTCCGGCTCACGGCGAATAAAAAAATCATCACAATTGAGACAGGGCGGGTGGGTGGGGTTTATAGTTTGCCCTTTTTTCTTGACATACATTGCCGTCTTTTCACAACAATAAACCTTAAAACATATTCAAAATGGTAAATTTTGTAAGGAAATCATAGTGTAGAGGCTTTCATTATTTCCAATTTAATTTGGAAATAATCCAGAGCGTAGTCTTCGAAAATTGGCTTATTTAATTTTTTCGTACCCCTTGATAAATTTTTGGTATACAGAAAGCAACCTATGGAAAGAAAAGGCGAGTGGGCGGGGCTAGTACCTCTTGAGATAATGCAGATTTTGCCAAATAACATAACGTGTATGAAAACAAAGGGATGGTGGGTGGGGCTACTACTTGCCAAGATGAGAATTTTTGCAAATGCTGGGTTAGTACTTGCCAAGGTAAGACTGATTTTGGCAGATGATATACCCTCCAAGAAAATAATGGGCGGGTGGGCGGGGCTAGGATTTGCTAAGACAAAATTGACACACCCTCTAAGGAAATAAAGCGGTGGTAGGCGGCGCTAGTAGAGAACGAGAAGAAAATGTATTAAATAAATATACAAAATATGTTCATGGTATACCTACAATTCAAAAACCTTCTTCAAACCAGTCTCGCTCAAATACAATGTAATTTAAATATTTATAATAATAATAATAATAAAAGCGTTTATTGTTCTACAAAAGAGACAATGTGAGAACAAAAGGTTCGGCTACAGCTCAACGCTGATACATTTCTAAGAACCAAACCCGTAAATACAAACAAGAGTATACAAAATAAAATAAGACGAGAAAAAAGAAACACATTAAAATTTTATTGTGTCAATGTTGAAATTATTGCTCAAAATTTGTTTATTTATTTTGTTTTTAAGATTAAAATTAGAGTACCCACATGCTAACTCAGGGCACTTATTGAAAACGTAACTAGCCAAGTAAGAAAATGAAGTTTTAAACATTGACATTTTATGCGAAGGTATATCAAGTTGTGCATCGACAAATCGTAATTTTCTGGAATGAACTTGACTTCTTTTCAATATTTTATCGTAAAGATAAACTGGTGCATGTTCCTTTAAGACACTGTTAAGAAAACAACTGTAGTGAATACAACGTTGTTCGTTCATTTTAAGTAAACCAAAAGATCTCAAATATGGAGTAATATGATCACCAAAAGGAACATTTGTAATAAATCTAATGCAGTTGTTTTGAATTTTTTGAAGCTTTGCTTTGTCATTTATAGTAAGGCAAGGACCATACAATTGATCGCAATAATTGAGGCGTGATAAAATCAACGAATTCATAAGCAAAAGTTTAGTTTTTCCATTTAAAATATGTTTTAGAGGAATAAGTTGCCTAAATTTTAAGTAACACTCTCTACAGATATGAGACACATGAGAGGAAAATGTTAATTCAGAATCGAATATAACCCCAAGATTGTTAACCTTGTCTACGTACTCTATTTTTTCATTATTAATAGTAATTTGAAGACTGACGCCTGAAAGTTTATGTGATGTGCCAAACAAGATATTGTGACACTTTTTTGTGTTAATCAATAATGAATTTGATGATGTCCATTTGTAAATCTCGTTTAGGTCATGATTGATCTGTTCTTGAGCACGTAATACTTCACAGGGAGGGAAACTTAAAAATAATTGAATATCGTCGGCGTATAGATGAATTTTACAAAACTTTGGCATATAAACAATGTCAGATATAAAAAAGGAAAAAAGTAGAGGGCCTAATTTGGAGCCTTGAGGAACCCCATTGCTAACTCTGCGCTCACTAGAAAAAACTTGACCTTCAGTTGTATTTAAACGACAGACTTGTTTACGATTGTATAAATAGCTTCTGAACCAATCAAAGTTTGGATTACAGATACCATAATAGTAGAGCTTTTCTAATAAACAGTCTATGTTCAATGAGTCGAACGCTTTGGTTAAGTCTAATAACGTTACAGAAGTTAAATTTCCTAAATCTATATTGCTAATTATATGATCTGTTAACGACACAAGTGCAGTAGCGGTACTATGACATTTACGAAAACCTGATTGAACCGGTGGTATGATGTTTTTGGAATTAATAAATTCACTAAGCTGCTGATAAATAACAGACTCAGCAATCATCAAAGCAACAGGCTGAATGCTAATGGGCCTCATGTCATTCAGAGATGTAAATTTATTCTTTTTTGGTATGGGAGTTACGCATGAAGTTTTCCATAATTTGGGAACATAACCATTTTCAAAACTGAAGTTAATGATGTGTGTCAAGGGGGCACTAACAAATGGCAAAGCAATTCTCAACATCCTACCAGAAATACCGTCATACCCCATAATAGAAGGTTTTAATTTCAGTATTGCTTCTTCAATTTTCTCTACTCCCACAGGTGAAAATACAAAATTACTCTCATTAGAAAAATGAGAGAGTCAATGTAATCACGAAAGCTAGATGTTGTAGTGACCGCAGGAACAGAATTTATAAAATAGTTGTTTATCTGGTCAGCATTAGCTAGTTCAGGAGGTATGGTTTCATTATTTTTACTTGCTATTATATTAGAGTTCCGTAAAGTTGCCCAAAATTTTCTTGGATTATTTTTACAATTCTGTGTAAAGTTGTATGTCATAAAACCACGTTTTTCTTGCTCTAGTGCAGTATTATAAAAATTTCTTAATTCACAATAGTACCTTTTATGTTGTTCAAGCTTTGCCCTACAAAAATGATTCCAAGCTTTCCTTTTTAGGATTCTCAATTTTCTAAGATTGTGAGTATACCATGCTTGATGAGATCTTTTAGTTTTATGACAACAGATTCTTAATGGAGCATGTACGTTAAAAATACTTAAAATGCATTCGTTAAAATATTTAACTTTTTCATCTAAGTCTGGCAACATATATATGTATTTGATTCCAGTTAATTCTCTCAGCATCCTTGGCAAATTCATTTATGTCTAAATTTTTAAAACTTCTAATAATTTTATGATTAGTTATCTCGTTATAATTATTAAAATCTACTATACAATGAATATTGTTGTGGTCGGCTAGTGCAAGATCAGATACCCAAGATTTAATAATTTCAACATTTGAACTAACAATAATTAGATCTAAGAGAGATTCGCTATCCTTGGTAATCCGTGTGGGATCATTAATTAGTTGGTTACAATCAAGTTCAAATAACAAAGATTTTAGAAATTTGCTACCAGGAGAATCAACAAGCAAATCAACATTGAAGTCACCAATAAATATAAAATCAAGTTTTTTAAGGGTCAAAAAATTTATAATATCTCCTAGCAAATTTAGATTGTTAAAATTAATATCAGGTGGTCTGTAAAATGTACCTACGGCAATCTCTTGTGAGTTTATCTTAAGTTTAATTAATAAGTATTCAATAGAGCTATCAGAAGTTTCATCCGAACAAAACTTTAAAATTTCAAATTTAAGAAAAGACTTAACATATAAAGCAACACCTCCACCTACTGTGGCACGATCCTCGCGAATGATGTAGCCTGGCAAGCTAAAAGTATCGTCTGGAACATCCGGTGGAAACCATGTTTCACTGACGCCGATGAGGGAATAATCATGTTGGAGTACTATGTCTTTGAACTTGTGAAATTTGTTACACAAGGATCTTGCGTTCAGGTGAGTAATAGCTAGGCCACTTGGTTTTGATTCGTGCGCTTCCAAAAAAATTTATTGACAGTTACTCCAGAAGGCCAAAAATTTGAATCCATTACAGATTCAGTTAATGAGTTTGGGACGGTGATTTTAAAAGACGAGTATACTTCTGGATGTTTAGAGCTCATTTTCTCGCAGTTTATCTCTGATGACGTTGATGCAAAAAATGCAACTACAACTTCAACGGTTGTACCAGGAAGAAGGCGGCTTATATGAAAGCTAGAAGTTTTATTGCGCTTTGGAACACCAACTAAGGTATTCGCACTTGACGAAACACCACTGCCAACTATTGGTTTAGATCTCCTTTTCTCGTTAAGAGAAGGTTTTCCTTTGGGGCTGCTATCAGAGTTAAGTTGTTTCTCATTCTTATTGCCACGTTTTTTATGAGTCACCAGTTTAAAACCATCCTGGAAGACATCATCGTCTGCGTCATGTTGAGTTTTGTTGCCATCTTCATTCAGATAGATAATTTCATTCATAATTTGCAGCTGTTTATCGTGCATCAGCTGTGCATTTTTTGTTTTCTTATAATCAGCAGCAGTACCTGTAGAAATAAGTCTTTTATCAATCGCACACTGAGGTTTTTCAACGCTCACGATTGAATTCGCAGTTTTATTATATAGGTCGATTTTAATTTGGTGAATTTCGTTAATAATTTGATGGAAGCGTTCATTTACAATGTCGACAGATGCATATTTACCAAGTATCGAAGTATTTTTAACTTGCTTAAGTTGTTTCGTGAGAGTATCAACTTCAGTTCTTGAGAAGTGTAGTTGTTCTTTAAGCAATTCTATTGTTGTTGACATTTCTGCAATAGTTGCTTTGAGTTTCATGTTTTCCCATTGAAAATTTGTAAGAATATCTTGTGAGGTCACATTTTCTTCAATGTCATCGTCGCCGTCGTCAGCGAAACTTTCGTTTTCATGATAGGCAATTGTTGATTTCTTGGAACAGCAATTTGTTCTTTGTGCACAACTTTGATGAAATGTAGCTTTACAATTAACACATGTCACTTTTTTCTTAATTACTGGTGTTTTACACGTAGTACAATTGAAATTAATAAGAGCTGCTTTCTGCACTGTATTAGTGTCAGCCATTTTCTTTCAACTTCCTTCTATTTACTATCAAAACATTAGGGGTTTTCGAACAAAAACGCTTAACTTCTTTAGCAATCTTTCTACTTTTGGTGATAATTATAATATAATTTCATGCTCGCGTAATATAAATTTAATAATACTTATTAGTGGCCAAAATCAGTCTTATCTTAACAAGTACTAACCCCGCCCACCCACCCTTTATTTTCTTAGAGACTAAGACATTTGCCAAAATGAGTCTTATCTTAAGCAAGTATTAGCCCCGCCCACCCGCCCTTTATTCTCTTGGAGAGTAGGTCATTTGCTAAAGTCAGTCTTATCTTAGCAAGTGGTACCCCGCCCACCCGCCCTCTATTTTCTTAGAGAGTAAGTCATTTGCCAAATCAGTCTTACCTTGCCAAGTATTACTATTTATTCTTTTAACGATTAAAAAATATTCTTTTTGCAAATAATAAATAAAAATAACTATTTGTAGCCTTCTTGATATTCAACTTTTTTTATTTTAAAGGCACATGCCCATTTTTTCACTACTTTGGAATAATTTTTTTTCTGAATCCAATGATGTACAAAAAAAAATTCTACAAACAGCTATTAAGTTTGAGGTATGATACATTGTCGTGCGATTTTTAATAATTTGTCATCCACCCTGTATACCTTCGGTTTTTTTTATTTGAAACCCCTGTAACTTTTTTATTTTTAAAGATAAGCATATAGTTCTTTGAGCAAATTTGTATGATTTTAAAAGATCACATGTGAATAAATGGCATGAGTGTCAATTTTTGAAGCTACTACATTGTCATCAATAAATATGAATTTTTCGTCTATTTTATTGAATAACTTTTTAAGTATGATTTTAGAATATTAGTTGCTTTGATTTTTTTCCACATATGAAAAAATATACGTAGTGTTCCATAAAAAAATTAAGTTGACGTCATTTCCGGTTCGGATAATAAAAATGAGATTGCCATCACATAGATCTTTTAAATTGATACAAATTTGCTCAAAGAACTAGACCTATTTTTCCGAATAAAAAAGTTGCAGGGGTTGCATTAAATAAAAGAAACACCCTGTATAATGTAATACTTTAAAAAATGACTCAAATTCAAATACTGACAAGCTGAGTATTTTATTAGCCTTCGATTTGTCTGTAATGTTTTCATGAACAAAATGAGAAGTAAACATGGTTTTTCCAAAAAGAATTTTTTTAGACATGTTTTATAAATTTCTTGATGTCGAAATAAGTCTGCACATATTAAGAGAAAAAAGGCAAATGTAGCCCCGCCCACCCGCCCTATCTCAATTGTGATAAATTTTTCATTAGTTGTCAAATCGAGGGGCGGGGCTTAATTGCAAGATCCCTATTTACCATTTTAAACATGTTTTAAGTGTCTTATTCTGAAAAGAAAAAGGCAAAATATAAGCCCCGCCCACCCGCCCTGTCTCAATTGTGATATATATTTTTTTAATCGAGAGCCAAAGGAGTGAAAATTAACTGCAAAATCTTTATTAATTCTCTACAAGAAATTACCATGTAAGACATGTTTTTAAGTATAGTATTATTCTAAGAATACTGTGTCTATGTATCAAGAAAAAATTAAACCCCACCCATACCTGCCCTGATCTAAATAGTAATCCAGTTTTTATTCGTTGGTAGACCTAGGGGCGGAGCCTAATTGCAAAATCCATATTTCCCTACAAAAATTCACCAATTTAAGTGTTTTAGGCCCGGTTTATAGAACGTCGTGTTAAATTTTAACAGTGAGTTAAGTTACTCGCATTCCCATTGGCTGAAGTACCTGGTTTTGACCAATGAGATGTCAGCATTTCAAATTAACTAGATGTTAACATTTAACACCCAATTAAATATTTAACTCGCGTTCTATAAATCGGCCCTTAAATTTCTAAGAATAAAAAAATCATCAGAATTGAGATGGGGTGGGCGGGCGGGGTAAATATTTTTCTTTTTTTTTTTCCTTATATACATAGTATTCTTTGACTAACCCGATACTCAAAAGCATGTTTCTAATTTCTTGTAAGGAAATTAGTATTTTGCAGTTAAACTCTGCCCCCTTGGTTCATGTGGAATAAAAAAAATCATCACAATTGAGATAGGGCGGGTGGGCGGGCTCACATTATGGCTTTTTATTTGAATATGTGTAGACTTCTTTTCACAACATGAATCTTCAACATGTTTAAAATGACAAGGCTCCGTCCCATATTGAAAAATTGATATTTTCTTGCAAAAATGTACCATGTTCTAAGTTTCTTGTTGTGAAAAGATAGCCATGTATATTTAAAAAAAAAAAAATCAAAATATAAGCCCCGCCCACCCGCCCGATCTCAATTCTGACGATTTTTTTTTATTCGTCGTAAGCCGACGAGGGGCGGGTTTAATTGCAAGATATCTGTTTACAAGAATTTACCATTTTAAACACGTTTTAAGTTTCTTGTTCTGAAAAGACGACTACGTATATTAAAAAAAAAAAGACAAAATATAAACCCCGCCCACCCACCCTGGCTCAATTGTGATGATTTTTTTTAATCGTCGAGAGCCAAAGAAGCGAAATTTAATTGCCAAATTCTTATTATTTCTCTACAAGAAATTACCAGTGAGTATCGTGGTATTCAAAGAATAGTATGTATATTAACTACTTGCCCTGATCTAAATAATAATGGAATTTTCATTCGTTGACAGACCTAGGGGCGGAGCCTAATTGCAAAATCCATATTTCCTTACAAAAATTTTCCATTTTAAACGTGTTTTAAGTTTTTAAGAATAAAAAAATCATCAGAATCGAGGTGGGGGTGGGTGGGCGGGGCTAAAACTTTCTAAGCTTGGAGTGAACAATATTAAGAGTAGTCACTGAAACGAAAAAGGAGTGGGTGGGCGGGGCTACTGCTTGATCATAAAACTAGAAACAAGCTTAATTTAGCTCCGCCTATCTTCTTTCTCCATTTCACTGACTTATTTTATTTAGTGTACAATGGAAATTGAAAAATAACAGAATTGTATTGTCAAAATTTTCTGGGAAAATCAACCTGTTTTAATTAATAAAATAAATTCACTGATTCATTTTTTTGAGTCAGCCTGTATAAGAAAATCTAAAAAATATGAATGCAATTAATATAAATAAATTACAAATATAGAGTGATCATATTTTGCACATTTCGACAGGATTTATTCAGCAAATTTTTAATTTTATAACCCGCATGCGCAATATTAAATATATAAATGTCATCAATTGTTAGTATGAATGCATTGATACATTTTTATGATATTTTCCTATCTACAGACAAATGAAAACAAGAAGCCGACATTTTCGTATTCTACAAGCTGTGACACGTCGATAAAACATGACAGACATACGTCAATTCCTATCCTGCACCAATAAAATTTGTTATCTGAACAAAAAAAAATTAGATGCTATCGCTTAAACAAGAGATTTTAGGGTGGAGTTTTTTATTTAACCATCTGCGCAACCAAAAACGACTCGTCATTTTACGTTATCTCTGGGGTACCGTCGTGGGTATTGTTTATGTCTTAATAACTATGTGCAAAGGATACAAAGGTTTTAAATTATCTATATTTAATTAATTAACTAAATTCGGAACACCGATCGTCATTTTTTGGACCATTGTACCTTTGGACGTGTATAGGTTTAGGTTGGAATAATTTGGGCGAAATAATTTTTGCTAAGAAATAACTTTAGTTCGTTTTGTAGAATTGTAGCTTTACGTCGATTTATTTCGGATGCAAATTACTCGAAGTCGGCACTTCATCTCAGGTTTGGTGTTTTCAGGGTGTTATTTCAATTCTATATTTCCAAGTAGATTTAATGGTTTTATATCGACAATGCCATCGCTATTTCACTGCTGTAACAAATACACCAAGTAATCAAAAGTATTCTACGCCAACATTTGAGACATCCGGAAAATTACAATTAGATAAAAAATTAAAATTATTTCCAGTTCATATTGTTGACATTATTAAATTATCCCTAGTAACAATTATTTTACAATACTAATAAGCTTGAAAGCTAATTAGAATCAGAAACATCAACAGCGATGGTTTACTTTTTTGAATTTCCCGCGCTGTCAACATTTAATATTTTGACAACATTCAATTTTGAGGGACAGAATTAGAAACAATCACAGAATGTGAAAATTAGCGGCAAGGGAATGCAGTAAGTGTAGAAATTATGCTACACATTGTTTTTAAATATATATTCAATACAGTTATAATAAAATTACTCAGCTTCATCAACATGCACACGTATTTCACCTGTGAAAATAGCAATGTTTACAAAAACGCAAAAATACTAAGTAATTGTTAATACGAAAAGTTTGAATCATCCAGTACTTGTTCTTTACCAAAATATGCACGTGCGACCATCAAAATTCTAAAAGCCGGCTGTAACTAGTAGAATTATAACCTAAAGACTCAGTTACCCACGAGGCTGCACATTTCGTAAACTAGCAATTTTTTGCGTGCTACCATAACTCGAACGAATCTGAAAGAACGTACTTATTTTGTTAAACTCACCGAGCAATCCAAACCAATACCAATTCTCGGAATGGCCAAGTGCATGAAATGGGCATGTTCATGATCGGCAGCGGTGTTGTAGTCCTGCTGAAGCCCCTCCACAAGTTTGTTGAGGACCTCTTGGGGCACCTTGCAGCCACGGCCTTTTAAGTCGGCAAAACGCGTCAGTCGGAAACTCGCTTCCAAGTCGTGGGCCAGAGGGTCAAAAGGCCGACGCAATGCCAGAGCATTTGGATTTCCACCGAGCTCTAGTTGGACAGCCCCGAGAGCATCCTGTTGAACTCCCGCTACTTGATAATCACCCATGCCGGCTTTTTGGCTATCGGAGCTTTACGATGACAATAACTGGTACTACCGTGTTAAAAACACTGGCTCGTCGAGAGCGTTTCTCAAACAATCACCCGACGCTCACAAGATGGCTACCGCTGCTTCCACAGCCCCGGCGATTTGCGCACGCGCAAGCACGGAAATTGTTTGGATTGGTCGAATCGAGATGCGCAACTATGCAGGAGGTTGTCAAAATTTTTGGGATAAAAATTACTTGGCGTTTATTTTTAGAAAGTTGAAGGCCCAGTACTGTTTAAAGCGATTGGGGAGTCGATCGACTGATAGTTACCGACTCAGGTACTAATCTAAGCGGCTTCTGGAATGCTGGATATATATTGATTTGTTTTCTGTGGTGACAAGGACGCTGTAATTTCTTGAAAGATAGTAATTCGGCGGCGATGTTGCCATATCAACAACTAAAGCTAGCTTTACAGAACTATTTTGGTGTAAATAACAAATTATACGTTTGTTGCTTTTAAAAAACTACTAGTAAGGCCCCTTTAGAACACTTTGTTTTTTTTAATCACTTTCGACTGTTTTTCCAAATGTCAACATTTCAAGGAAAATACCCCGCTTTTCCAAACAAGAATACGGTTTCGTCCAAACAAATCTCCCTTTCAAAAACACTCAAAATCAGGAATTTTGCCTTGTGTTAAAGACTTTTTTCCTGTTAGGCCCCCTCAGAACACTTTGTTTTTTTAAAGATTTCGACCTTGTTTTTTTAATCCTTTAGTTTTTTAATTTTTCAGCGAAAGAACAAATTTATCCAAATTAATTATTGGAAAATCGGAAAATTGTATCATTGAAACAATGAGGAATACAAAAATTTTAAAATGAAGAATCCAAAAATTTCAAAATAAAAGTCAAGAAACCAAAAAATCGAGACAACGAAAAATTGAAAAAAATTAAAAATAATTTATTCAAACCGAAATTTTGAATTGAATTGAGAAATCAAAAAATTGAGAAATCGAAGAATTGAAAAAATTGAAAAATTGAAAAAACGAAAAAGAAAAATTTCTATAAATTAAATAATCAAAAATACAAAAATTGTTAATTTCAAAATCTAAAGATTTTAAAATGAAACTTGAAATATCGAAAAATTGAAAAATCGAAAAATTGTAATAACGAAACCTCAAAACCCTGATTAATTAAAAATCGAGGAGTTGAAAAATCGACAAAACGAAGCAATTCTGCAATTTTTTGATATTAAATTCTTCAAATTTTCGATTTTTAATTTTTCGTTTTCTCGATTTTTCATTTTTTAATTGTTCAATAAAGGACAAATTGATCAAACTGAATTTTTGAAAAACCGGAAAATTGTAAGACTGAAAGATCAAAAAACAAAACAATTAAAAATCGAGAAATTGAAAAATCGGCAAAAAGAAACAATTCTGCAATTTTTGAATATAAAATTTTTCAAACTCTCGATTTTTAATTCTTCATTTTTTCGATTTGTCATTTTTCAATTGTTCAACATAGGACAAATTTATTCAATCCGAAATTTTGAATTGAATTGAAAAATCAAAAAATTGAAATATCGAAGAACTGAAACAATAAAGTACTTTGAAAAAACCGAAAAAATTAGACTTAAAAACTGAAAAATGAAATTTGAAATAGCGAAAAATGAAAAAAACTGAGAAATTGAACAATGTGATAATTGAAAAAGCAATTGAAAAATCGAAAAATTGTAATATTGAAACCTGAAAACTCTGAAAAATCGAGAAAGTGAAAAATTGAAAAAACGAAAAACAAAAACTTCATAAATTAAAGAATCAAAAATACAAAACAAAATTAATCCAAAATGCAAAAATTGTTACATGAAAACCGGAACACTAAAAAATTAGGAAACTGTAAAAACGAAACACTGAAAAACCGAAAATTTTAGAAGTTGAGAAATCGAAGAATTGAAAAAATACAGAAACTGAAAAATCGGAAAATGGAAAAGCCAAACAATCGGCAAATTTAAAAATGAAACAATTACGAAATTGTAAATTTGAAAAAAAAAATTAAGAAGAAATGAAAAATTTTAAATCAGAAATTGAAAAATCAAACTTGAAATTTCGAAAAATTGAAAAAATTGGCAAACTGAAAATTGAGTAACGAAAAAACAATTAAAAATGGTTCAACTGAGAAAAACATAGAAACTGTAAAATCGAAAATTTGTAACATTGAAATCTAAAAAAGTGATGATTAAAAATCTAGGAATTGAAAAATCAAAAAAACGAAAAATTGTAAAATATAACACATAGAAAATCGAAAAGTTAAAGAGCAAATTAGAAAATCGAAAAATTAAAATATCTACAAATTTAAAAATCGAAAAATTTTACTGAAAAATGAAAAATTTCATAATGAAAATCGAAAAACTAAAAAATGGAGAAATCGAAACACGGAAAAATCGAAAAATTATCAATTAAGAAAAATATAAAAATCTCGCATTGAGAAATCAAAAAATTGAAGAAACAAAATAATTTGGAATTACCTACTTGGAAGTACTTTATTTTTAATTTCTTATTTTCTCATTTTTTCGTTTTTTAATTTTTCAACAAAAGGACAAATTTATTAAAACTGTAATTTTAAAAAATCAAAAAATCAGAAAATTGTAGCACTGAAAAATTGAAAAATTAAAAATTAAGAACTGAAAATCGAATTGAAGAATTGATAAAAATAAAGAAACCCAAAATCGAATAATTAAAAGTTGAGAAATCGAAGAATTGAAAAAAATGCAGAAATAGAAAAATCGGATAATTGAAAAGTCAAGAATTGTACACTTGAAAATAATCCTAATAATAATTATTTGAAAAGTGAACAATTTTATTACAAAATTGTAAATTTGAAAAAAACAATAAAAACGTAAAATCGAAAATTTGTAACACTGAAACATCAAAAAACAAAATAATTAAAAATCGAGAAATTGAAAAATCAACAAAAAGAATTCTCAATTTTTAATTCTTTATTTTGTCGATTTTTCATTTTTAATTGTTCAACAAAGGGACAAATTTATTCAAACCGAAGTTTTGAATTGAATTGAAAAATCAAAAAATTGAGAAATCGAAGAATTGAAAAAATTGAAAAAATTGAAAAAACGAAAAGAAAAATTTCTATAAATTAAATAATCAAAAATACAAAAATTGTTAATTTCAAAATCTAAAGATTTTAAAATGAAACTTGAAATATCGAAAAATTGAAAAATCGAAACAATTTTGCAATTTTTCAATTTTAAAGTATTCAAGTTCTTGATTTCCAATATATGTAGTAATAATAATTTCGATATAATATTTTTCAAATTTTTTAATTGTTCAACAAAAGGATAAAACTGAACTTTTGAAAATCCGAAAAATTGTATCACTGAAACATCAAAAAACAAAATAATTAAAAATCGAGAATTCTCAATTTTTAATTCTTTATTTTGTCGATTTTTCATTTTTAATTGTTCAACAAAGGGACAAATTTATTCAAACCGAAATTTTGAATTGAATTGAAAAATCAAAAAATTGAGAAATCGAAGAATTGAAAAAATTGAAAAATTGAAAAAACGAAAAAGAAAAATTTCTTTAAATTAAATAATCAAAAATACAAAAATTGTTAATTTCAAAATCGAAAGATTTTAAAATGAAACTTGAAATATCGAAAAATTGTAATATTGAAACCTCAAAACCCTGATTAATTAAAAATCGAGGAGTTGAAAAATCGACAAAATGAAGCAATTCTGCAATTTTTTGATATTAAATTCTTCAAATTTTCGATTTTAAATTTTTCGTTTTCTCGATTTGTCATTTTTCAATTGTTCAACAAAAGGACAAATTTATTCAAACGGAAATTTTGAATTGAATTGAAAAATCAAAAAATTGAAATATCGAAGAATTGAAAAAATAAAGAAAACTTGAAAAAACCGAATAAATGAGACTTAAAAACTGAAAAATGAAATTTGAAATATCGAAAAATTTAAAAATTGAGAAATCGAAAAATGAAAAAATTGAGAAATTGAACAATGGGATAATTGAAAAAGCAATTGAAAAATCGAAAAATTGTAATATTGAAACCTGAAAAGCCTGATTAATTAAAAATCGAGAAAGTGAAAAATTGAAAAAACGAAAAACCAAAACTTAATAAATTAAAGAATCAAAAATACAAAAAAAAATTAATTCATAATGCAAAAATTTTTAAATGAAAACCGGAACACTAAAAAATTAGGGAATTGTAAAAACGAAACATGGAAAAATAAAAAAATTGTAACATCGAAAAAACGAAACACTGAAAAACCGAAAATTTTAAAAGTTGAGAAATCGAAGAATTAAAAAAAATACACAAACTGAAAAATCAGAAAATGGAAAAGCCAAACATTGAATAATAAAAATCCTAATAATTATTTGAAAAAAGTGAAAAATTAAAAATCGGCAAATTTAAAAATGAAACATTTACGAAATTGTAAATTTGAAAAAAAAAAATTAAGAAGAAATGAAAAATTTAGAATCAGAAATTGAAAAACCAAACTTGAAATATCGAAAAATTGAAAAAATTGGCAAACTGAAAATTGGGGAACGAAAAAACAATTAAAAAATGGTTCAACTGAGAAAAACATAGAAAGTGTAAAATCGAAAATTTGTAACATTGAAACTTGAAAAAGTGATAAATTAAAAATCTAGGGATTGAAAAATCGAAAAAACGAAAAATTGTAAAATTCAACAGATAGAAAATCAAAAAGTTAAAGAGCAAATTGGAAAATCGAAAAATTAAAATATCTACAAATTTAAAAATCGAAAAATTTTACTGAAAAATGCAAAATTTCATAATGAAAATCGAAAAACTAAAAAATGGAGAAATCGAAACACGGAAAAATCGAAAAATTATCAATTAAGAAAAATATAAAAATCTCGAATTCAGAAATCAAAAATCTGAAGAAACAAAATAATTTGGAATTACCTACTTGGAAGTACTTTATTTTTAATTTTTTATTTTCTCATTTTTTCGTTTTTTAATTTTTCAACAAAAGGACAAATTTATTAAAATTGTAATTTTAAAAAATCAAAAAATCAGAAAATTGTGACACTGAAAAATTGAAAAATCGAAAAATTAAGAACTGAAAATCGAATCGAAGAATTGATAAAATAAAGAAACCCAAAATCGAATAA